GACTGGACATTTACGGCAAGTTGCTGAAGCTTGCTCAACAAGTTCGAGCTTTGAGCCTGGCTTGCAACCGTGGCACCGGCGAAGGCAAGTAGCAAAGGACCTGGCCTCTTCCAAGACACATTGCCGTTCCGGCCAAGTCCTCCGCTTCGGAACTTTCTGGGACTGCGTTGGCTTTGTTCGGGGAAAGATAGGCTCACTGTGCGTGCATCCACCAGCAGGAGCACGAGGCCAGCTGGCCTTTTCAAGCTTGGCACCCCTGTTGCGAAGTGCAAGATATCGTCGCATGGGTCGAGGTGGGGTGACCCCTGGCTTTTCAAGCCGTCCTTTCCCAACACCTGCATAGGCTTGCTGCTTCGTCGGGACGATGTTGAAACCGGTCTCGTGCTGCGCAGGCTGTTGCTGACACAGAAGTTCCTCTGCAGGCTGGGTCCAGGACAGCTGACTGCGTGCTTCTGCGCGAGCGAGAAGAGATTGATGAAGTTCGTCACAAGCTGTGCGCTCATTTGCATGCTGATGCAAAGGCTACAGTCATGGGCATGTCTTTATTGAAGCTTGCACTTTGCACAGCAAGCTTCAGCCTGTTCCTCTGGAACAGAGATATCTCACAACCTCAGCGAGAGCCACGTGTAACGGTTAATCACGTCGCGATCATACCTCCTGCGCAGACAAGACCAACAAGGCCCTGGCTCCGTAAACATCTCCACTAGTGACTAGTCTTCCGCGAGGCAAAGCTTCCAGTGTTTAGGAGCCTTCCGGGGTTTGGCATACGTGACTTTAGGCAAGGCACGATTCCGTGCTCAATCTGCGAATCGTTCCTGCCTCCGGGATGTCGCTGGCCGTGAAGGGTATGATCTCGATGGCCATGGGCCTTCAGCATATTTCAGCATGCTAGCCCGGAATTTGTTGACTCGATAAGAAGGATCCTGCTATTTGGGTTGTTTGTATCGGGGTCCCCAAGTTTCTCAAACTCTCATTTCAGAAATGAGAGTAAGCCTAGCAAAGGAAGATGGGCAGACTGCAACAAACCATCATCGTCAGCATGCTGAGTATCCCTGTCGTCTCGACATGTTTGTGCTCAGCTATTTCTGCCAGACTAGCTGTCTGCGAACGAAAAGGAATTACTTTCACAATCACAAGCGATGTCTTCGGTTTTGTCCGCACCATCATCATCATCATCATCATCATCGTCTTCGTAAGAGGGTTTCTGAGCAGTTGGAACCTGTCTAGACAAGCCGGAAGCTGCAAGTCAAGCACAGGCATGTCCAAGCGTGGGGGACAGTGCCAAGCTGAGCATCCCTGATAATATCCGCCTGCTGCCATCTCCGATTTCGATCGTGCAATGCTCTTGGTCGTTCGGGAGGTCCGTGCTGACGATGCAGCCGTCTTCCTGGACGGTGCAAGACCTTAGCGGGCATGGCTCACACAGAATAGTTAAAGTGCCTGTCCACGCAACTGAACCACCCCATGCAAGACACCTCAGGGACGAACCCCACGCTTACCTGCAATGCCAGTGGATCCAATTTACCTGCAGCCGACACGGAACGTGACCACCTTGCCACAGATTTCCTTTGCCTCGACCTCTCAGTTCACGAACCCAGGCGACTCGACAAAAAAATCCAAACTTTCCATGTCCATGCACACAATTACTTGTGTAGCTGTTCCAAGCAAGGATTTTCCGGGAATCAGTCGAAGAGTCCTTGAGGCTAGCTAAGTGCACCAGTCCCACTGTTGCTGGAGCTGCATGTTGAAAAACTCTATCTGACAATGCACTTCCGAACTACTTCCACACGCACCCCGGCCTCGCACCAAGCAGGTCATGGAAATGCTCAGCAGATACCAAAGCGACGACATGTTCCTGAAGCATCGGAAATTACAACACTGGCACAACGCGGCGTGCACCGTCAAGCCAATCAAACCTCGAATCCCAACACCGACACATGTCCCTACCCCCGTCCTTGACCCGTCGTGCCCTGCGCTGGAACGGCAAAGCGTGAATGCAATCTGCAAGCTGAACCCCTGGTGGCACCAAAACTCAAATCAACTCGGTAGTTGACAAGTCACAAGCGACATATTATTGCTTGGATCGTTCAGACCACATTTCCACGGAGCTTGCTTCACCGACAAAGCTGCCCGAACCAAAACAACTCTGCGTGGAATGCACGACTCAGCTAGAGCAACTCAGGATGCTTCGGCAACATGGCCGAGATGTGCACAAAAACCCCGAAATCATGCAGCGCTCACATTCATCCGCACCCGGAGACTACGTCGGAGCAGGTCGAAATCATTCGAACTCGCTCTGCTCAGCTTCGAGCAGAAAAATGCATTGAAACACTTCGTGTACATCTAGTGAGCATCTGGCTGGATGTGCTTGCCACACAAGGTTATGACATATTCGATCAAAAAGGAGCCGTCCTGTGACGACATTCTCCCCAGTTGCCGAACCGCTTGCTCCAGATCGCTAGGGCTGCATTTGAAAGGCGGATCTTGCTGCGAAAGTGCTTCGAGCTGCTGCGTCCACGCAACACATATGCGGCGTTGCGGTAGCGAGCGCGGCAGTGATTTGCACGCTGTTGCAAGCGCACAGGCCTGCTTCTGCGTGGGCAACTTGGTCTGCCCAAGCTGAAGACAAAGTGCAAAATAGTCTTCATAGGCCTCCCAAGGGTGAAGCGCCAATTCAGGGCCAGAGCTACTGCATCAGGAGTTGCTATGCCCGACACTAGACCTACACACCTTCAGGCCTTGCAGACAACGGAACGCCGCGACAAACCGAGCCCTGCTTGGTCGTAGGGTTAGAGGGTTTTGGGGTTTAGGGTTTTGGCGGCGTGGCTTGTGTCTGAAAGGTTGAAAAATGCACTCCCCAATCCCGGTCTGGCATACATGGAAGAAAGCCGCATCGCTTCTCAGTAAGCCTCAAACGCGTTACCCAACACACAAAGGTAGACACAAGCAGGGAAGAACACATCTATGCACGAATGTACAAAAAAACGAATGTATGTAAGCAACCAGACAGAAGTACGCATGTTCCTATACACCCATACGCTCAGGTATCAGGTTCTTAAGTATGTACATGTGTAGAGTAGACTAGTTCTGCTGAGCCCTTAACCCTGGCCTTCAACAGCGCAGCCTGCTTAAAGTGGGGACCGTGTCGCAAAACAGCTTTGCTTAGCTGTTGGAGCGCCAACCATACTTTGGCACCTGGGCACTTTGATAAAATCAAAAGCTTGCAAGCAATGTTGTTGCATCGTGGCTTGGGGACATGGCATGAACTCTACATGCTTGACGACGTACTTACTCCAGATCTTCGGGAACCGATCCAAACTGCCAAGCGATGTGGCAATTCTCCGAATGGACTTGCGGTTGGTCTACAGGCTTTCGGGTTTAGGGGTCGTCCGAGACACGTATTTTGCGGATTGCCGTCTCAGCCATTTGTCGGTCGTTCCTGGCCCAGAGACAAGTCGCGCACTTGCATGTGCACTCCGAGGCCGCGCGCGCGCCTTGCATCAAGCCCTGGAGTCGTCATCACGATCGTCTCCGATGAGAAAGACCAAACGAGCTCAAGGGAATCTGACTCTGCCTGCATTCGGGCTCCAAGGTGAGAAGGACATGAGCCAAGCCGATTCCGCAGACAGCTCTGAAACTGTCGGAATGCCGATACTCGCATGGTTTTCGGGCCTTGCAAACCCTGTATCATTCCCTCTAGTGTACTGTTGTGTCATTTTTGCTGTACGGATCTGTACGGCAAACCTGCTTTGCATGGAGGTACAGCCTGCACATCCGCAAACCTGTGGTGGAAACGGGCTGAGCATCAAGGAGCTTCCGATACATATGGGTAGTTCTCTAAATAAGGGTCACTTTTAGGGTCCGTTTTATAAGGGTGCCGTACTATATTGGGGACCTAAAAGGGGACCCGAATTTAGAGAACTGCCCATATGCGCTTGGTGGTTTTCACTTTGCATCCCGTGCCTCGGTAAAGAGGGGCAACGCCAACTCGATGACGAAGCGCTGAAATCCACCTCCACCGCTGCTGCCACTGCACTCTCTCCAACGAGTGCCGGCACGTATCCTGCTGAAAAAACCGCCCTCCATGGCCTAAAAATCTCCACGACGCGGATTTTCCAGCCGAAGAATAGGTCCATGTCGCTGCATCTCGGAGGACCTCCCAACAAAACGAGCAAAGCTGACAGCCGTGACCCAGAATCCCGCCACAATATCTGATGGCGATGAACAATAGAAATAGCAACAACAGCAAAACCAACAACAATCGGAACAGTACAAACGCAGGAGAGGAGGAGGAGTAGGTGCCAGCCTGCTCCTGTGACCCCCC